AAAATAACTGCAAAAATAATCATTTGAAGAGGTTAGAAGCCTCCCCGCCATCTTTAATTCAGCGAACCATTTCCATTTTAATTGCATAATGCGTCGTGTTGCAGGGGCTTTCCGGCCATCATGTCCTTTGTCAGGACATTCAGTAAGCGCATTACCAGTGAGAGAAAGAGAGAGAGAGAGATAGATTCACAAAATGGCAAAAATGTGCAACAAAATGTCGGATGGCTGACAAAGATGCTTTGCCGCCCAGGACCAGACCCAGACCCAGGACCAGGCTGGTGATTATTTATGCATATTGTCCGGATTTGCATATGGCGAATGTCGAACACCGGATTGGAATAGGTGGGGGCGGGGGGTGGTTAGGGGGGCGTGTCAGGGTGTCACGGTTGACACAGTGTGGCAGTTTTGTGCTGTGTTGCATGTTTTTAGGCGCTCCAAGCTCCAAGCTCCATGCTCCACGCTCCTCCACGCTCCTCCACGTTCAACGTGCTGCATATTCATTAATAATAAACCAAATTACCTATATTCCGGGCTCTCTGTCCCCGTTGCTCCGCCAGTGTGTCCTATTTATTGTATCCTTACCGCTTAGCCACACCGCCCCCTGCGCCACACCTCACCACTTCAGAGGATATTCCGTGATTTTCTGATCCTTGTCAGAGCCCCACACCCTCTTTGTAGTTTTTATCCCCACTTTGCCGCCTGCCCAATGCAATTTAATTATGCAGCACTCTTGGAGAATGGAGAGGGGAGGGAGGAGGGGGAGAAGGAGGTCATAGGTCACCCCCCCCCTCCGTACTACAGGGGGTGTACCATACATAATATGCATGCTCACGCAGCACATTTGGGAGCAGTTCGAGTTGTTACAGGAAGAGTCCTACTCCTGTCGCGTTTTTTAATCTTTTGCCTCCCAGCGGAAGTCCCAGGACACTGCCGCAAGGATAACAAATCAACGTATACTTTCAGTATTTAAATACTAGATAAATACCAAATACTAAAGTATTAGAATATCATTTCTGTAATAACTCTTCCACTTTAATCATCACTTGCTGCCTTTATTGAATTAATTTCTTTGGCAGGACCCCAAGGACACTGTGGCCCAACAGTCCTGCGTCCCTGCCACCTGTTGTTGTTGCTGCCACCCCCTCCGCCACTCCCACCCGCCCCAGTTGTGCATTGTTTTGCATATTTCGTCCATGTTCGACACGAAAAGGGACATGCCGTGTCACTTTTTTGCGCTTATGTGGGCCAATACAGCCACGCCTCCTCCTCCTCCACCTGGCCCTCCTCCTGCCCCCCGCTCAAGATGTCCATTAGCGGCCATCGGGATTTGCATACGAGTGTGCCGGCGTGTGTGTTTGGCTTTTACTTTCACATTAATTGGCCGAAAAGCCGAGGACCGGGGACCGGGGCCCGGAGAGTGGACCAGCATTTAACGCGCGTTTCGCGTGAAAGTGCCACGTGGCCCCCCCTGGCCTCGGCCCCCTCCCTCAGGAGTGACCACAACGGGGCTCTAATTCCAGGTAAACAGTAAACGGTTCTGTTCCACTTCCACGCTTTCAGGCTTTCAGGCTTTCGGGCTTTCGGGCTTTCAGGCTTCCGGTGCAATGACCCCAACAGCAAGGCTAGAGAACCCCAGTGGTCCTCCTGAAGGACTCGGACGGGATGATTAGCCCCGTGACGGACCAGCCACACTCCACCATGATCTGGGTGAATCCACAACCAGTTACCAGCTGGGCTTCCAAAGAGACTTTCAAGAGTGACTTCCTCTTATTGTTTTCCCCGATTTTGGCATAAATCTGCGACTGCGTGGGAGCTATCCACTTTTAGTTTCCAAGAGTAGGTTCCCACCTCCAAGTCACCTAGCTCCAACTAACCTCCCACTCACCCAACCCGGAAGACACTTGATAGAAATCTTTGTTTTCGTTTCGGGAAATGCTTAAATTATGTTGTTGGAGCGACGATGTGCTCGACTGGGCCTGGGAATCGTCAACGGGAAGAACTGTCTGGGAGAATTGTTTGCGAATCTGCAGGGCGAATGAAGTGCAGCGATTTGCATACTCCAGAGGAGGGTTGAGGTTGAGAGAACCCGCAATGAGACTCAAGGTTCGAGATTCAAAAGTGAAATGTCTCACTAAAGTAGAGTAGAACCTGATTATACAGAATTTCAAATATATTCTTGGAGGAATAAAGGATTGGGGTCCACCGCCCCCTCGTGGCAGGAAACAGGCAGCAGGCAGAAGGCAAAGTCCCCGGGGACAGGTCCGCCTGTCATTCTTGAGCTCTTGCCGCTGCCATAACAGTTATCCTTTCGGGCTGCCTGCCAGCTCCCTGCTAGGTCCTGCTCCTTCTCCAGCTCCTTCTCCTGCTCCTTCTCCTGCTCCTTGTTGTGTTTTGTTCCCAAAACGTGTGCGCATAAATATTTAAATGCCGAAAAGTCACGTCTTGAATAATTGTTTAACTTGGAGGCGCCACCCTTTGATGGCCCGGCTGCTATTTTAGGAACTTTTTCCCACTAAGTGCAGCTGTTACAGTCCCCCACTCCTGCCCCTGCTCCTGCCCCTGCCTCGCGGGCTTAAGGATTCATTATTATGAACGCAAATTACTCAAACTCCTTACAATTAGGTGGTGCGTGTGTGCAGCTAGCAGCCAGCCTGTGCATGTGTGTGCAATGTGTGTGGGCATGTGTGTTGCTGTTAATTTTCATATTAAATCCGTTAAAATGTGCAAATACCCAGCAGGCACTCGAGGAGCACGGCCACTGGGCTAGCGACGGCAGCGTGAGAGCTCTGAAAAGCCTCTCAGCCGAAGGACATACACAGTGCCCTCATACCGATAGTTAGGCTCTCCTCTCTAGGAGATCCAAGGCAGAGGACCAGGACGAGGCGCGTGCCACCGCCGAGTGGGGAATTTCAATAAACGAGCATCGTGTAAAGTAAAGTTATTAAAGGTACTTACACATCCGACCGCCATCCGGCAGGTCGACACCCACGGCCGTAGTTACGACTTATTCCGGCAACTACTCCCCTATCCGGGTAGTCTCCCGCCTACATTATGCATATTACTTTTCGGGAACCCTGTCAGGATACCCAATCGTCTGGCTCGAGGCGGGCGGCAGGAGCAGGCCTTTCCGTCCTCATTAGTTGCCTTCATAATTGGGATCGTCTTACTCGAAATCCTCCAATTCCAAGACCAGGATAAGCTTTAAAGAGCCACGGCTTGAAGTCCAGTTGCCAGGACGCAGCCAGAACCTTCGGATAATTGTCAATTAGGTGCCTGTTCCGGTGGCAGTTTGGTCCGAAAGGAGCATGTGCCGGTTGCACTTTGACAGGAGCAGCTGCTGAAGGCGAAAATAAAATAATAATGGCAGCAAAGGAGCAGGGATGGTCACAACATTGTGGCGGGTGCACCGAATTGTTAATAACTGGCAACTGGCACGTGCTCACCTGCAGCTAGAACGGCTTGTTCCTGTTCCTGCTCCACCTGCATGGAAGCCCTGCCACAAGCCCACAAATTAGTGGCACATTTCGGGAGCTCAACTATGTGCCAGAGTGTCTACGGAGGGAAACACACATGCAGCAAAGTTGCAGAGCAACATTAACTGCCTGGCTAGCCTGACATCCTTAAAGTGGCCAGGATTCGGACTCGCCACTGACCAACACAATAGGATGTCAAGGATGGCATTTTTCCAGCCACTCCACTAATGGCCTTTTAATGTAAAGGCCAACTCTGAATATTGCGTCGTTGCGGCCTCAGCCATAATTGCCGGCAGAGGCCGGAGAAAGGACACTTGTCCGGCTTCGCCTCGGGGCTGTCTTGGCCAAATATGGCCAACTGCACTGCTTCGAACAATGTTTTTCAATGCAAATGGAAATATGTATTTTCGGATTAATTGAAAATCAACAAGACGTGGTAATGACATCGAAAAACTACACACGATTGTGTCTCTTTTTTCACCGCAAGGAGCTGTCAAGGACACAGAACTGCCGGAAAAGGACCACCCCGAATCGATATCCAGCCCGGGGCCAGGTTCGCCAAAGCTCATTACAAACAATAAACAAATATCGGCCCCGGAATAACAATACGAAAGCGATCCGATTGCAGTAAAAACATGAAAAGTGTACAGAAAACAGGGCAGCACAGGTGGTCTTTAATGCCCCAACTTACCCAGGCCATGGTGGCTTTCCAGTTGACTTTCATGGTTCTCCGGATTAGAGGTGGCAGTTGCATTATTTTCGCATCAGAGACAGAACTAATTTGGTTCTTGCTGTCAACCGTGGCAGGTTTTGGTCCTGCGAGACAACCCGAGTACCAGGCCAGGCCCCGTCAAAGGGCGTCAATTGACGGCCAGTGGTCATCATTATCAGCAATCCTTTCCCGCGCCAATCACACATTTTATGGGCTTTGATTGCTTTTGACACTTATTGATTTATTTGGCCAGGACATGCCGTGTGTCCTGTGTATCCTGTGTGTCTGTGCGTGTGAGGATGGGTGGCTGTACACCACACCTGTATGCCTCGATGTAAATATTTATAAATTGCTGATATGCAATTAAAAATTACAGCAACAAACTGGCATCGACAGCAGCCCTGACAGCTGCCTCAGGTGCGCACACCTCTCGCCCTCGCCCTCGCCCTCCACACATATCCTGCGTGCATACATATATCCCTGTATATCCTTGTGTGTATAATAAAAGTCCGCATCTGTATTCCCGGGGCCTTATTAAGCTCATTCGCAGCTCTTTAAAATGCAAATGCAAGAATGCCAACGACACCCTGGCCCAGGTTCAGGTTCAGGACCAGGTCCAGGACTCGCGGATTGAATGTATTGTCCTGCGAACGCTCCGTCGCCCACTTGTAATTACCCAAATAAACGTTGAGTCCTCCCTCCCCCACGCCCCCTTACTGTGAGTAAATATTAAGAAAGTCAATATTGCTCCTGCGAGTTTAATAATTCAGACATTACGGAGGCGACCCGCAGATTCCTGAGTAAACAGGGCCAGACTAGCCGTAGTAGGTGGTGCGGAGCAGGGCGAAGAACTGGTAGGACATGCTGATGACCTTCATGAAGGTGTTGAAGGAGATGGGCGGGAAGGTGGGCGGCCGGATGGAGGCAGGCTTCTGGCTTCGCATTATGATGTACTGCAGGATGCGCTTGTACTTGCTGCTGCAGGGCAGCCAGTTCTGGTTGAAGGCGGCATGCCCGATGCGGGAGCTCTGCAGAGAGCTGGTTAGTGGGACTGAAGGACTGAAGCTATCCTGAGAACTCACCGAGGAGATCATTTCGTCACCGTAGTAGCACACCACGAAGACCTGCACCAGCGAGGCCGAGAAGAAGATGAAGTACAGCACAATGTCCTCCACGTTGGAGGCCGTGATCTGGAAACCCGCAAAGCAGATCACCAGGGAGGCGGCGATAAAGTTCCACAGAATGAGGAAGCTAAAGATGCTGTTCACCTCCTCGCTGAGACTGCAAGAGCACAGGCATTAGAGGCCTACAGGGACTAAGACTACTTACTCTAGGGCCCGGGCGTGGTAGACGACCAGGTCGTGCAGGTACTTGATGTTCTCCTCATCGGAGTGCTCCCCCCCGTCGTAGGCCTCCAGGCAGTCGGCCATGTAGCTGAAGTGCATCGTCAGCTGGGTGATGGTGGTGATCAGGAGGAGGTCCACGCACACGTACGACACCCCGGCCACGTAGGCGCAGTGGGCGAGGCCCCAGTAGGAGAACCAGTAGACGGTCAGATCCGTCTCGGCGTCGTACGGGAACTGGATGTGAAAGCCGTAGTTGCGCTCAAAGATCTCGGAGCCCATGAAGTAGTACTTGATGGTCGACTTGATGGCCGGGTAGAAGCTGAACGAGGAGGTGTACGTCATGCAGAGGATCGTGAAGAGGGTCATCACGCTGTTCATGTGCTTCTGGTAGTAGGAGACGTTGTAGGCGCGCTGCTGTTCCGGCTCCGTGGGGAAGATCGCCTTGAGGTCGTCCAGTAGCCGGACCAGCCGCTTTCGGTTCACCGTCAGCCCGAACTGCTTGAAGTCGGCCATGAAGCTGAAGCCGATGCAGGGCGCCACGGCGGTGGCCTCCAGCAGGGTCGTCGTCGAGGTAATATGCACGATGAAGTAGGCGATCTCCCCCACCACGTACGCGTTAAAGTTGAGGAACCCCAGCACCAAGTACAGCCGCAGCAGATAGCGCCGAATCAGGTTCGGGTCCCGGTCCGAGTAAAGGTCCTCGCCGATGGTCTTGTAGAAGGCCATTGGGAAGCGGGTGAGGTCCTCGAAGGTCCTCACCTCGCGCTTCTCCTTCCGACGACGGAACAGCATGGTTGTCTCCCAACTTTGGTGTCCGATCTCTCTGGGGTCGCGGCCTTTTATAGCTGCCGGTGCCCTGAGGGCCCTAAAATTCTTATGAGCCTCCAGCGCTGACCTCATAATTACTTAACGGGCTTTGGGATAATTGCCGACACCTGCCCTCGAGGACCTCCTGAAATATTCAGGTCACCAGGAATTCGCGCAATCGGGCAAAGGACACACCAGGCTTTAAAGCTGTCGGTAGAGCTCTGAAAACATTATTGATTGAGGGCACTCCAATCCCTGTCTATATCTCGGGCAGTTCCTATCCCATCCTCAAGCGGAATATCTCAAAGTTTGTATCCTATCCAACCACTTTTCAGTTGAGGTCCTTGAAAGTTCGGTTTGAAGGCCATCTAGGCTGAGGTTTTGAGCCTCTCAGACTCAGGGTCTAGGCTCCTACGAAACGAATTCAATTAAACGCAAAAGGATTCTTCGAAGCCAGGACCTTCGACATCAAAGACGAGCTCGCAAATGAAGTGGAAAATGTAAGTGGCGTCGGGAGGAGGAGTAGGAGGTCCTTGAGCCAGTTAGTTACTCCCATGATTTGCCTGCCAGCTGGCTGTGACGAATGCGGTTTCCATAACTCCATGGCCCAGGCCCCCAGTCGCCCCGCATCCGCTCCCATTCAGAATTCAGCATTTGGCATTCGGCATTTGGAAGTTCAAAAGGTACTCGGACCGCAGAATGCTTCAATTATGCATTAGGAATGTCGGCGTCGAGAGCTCTACACCCCGCACACCACTTTCAATGGAATATGTGGGACCTTCTGGCCTTTTATGAGCACACATTAATGTATGTGGGAGTTTCTGAATTCGCAGGATGCAGGATGAATGCAGCCTGTGTTGGCATAGTTGCCCCAAAGAAGCTTGAAGGGTGGAGGGCGGAGTATGGAGTACGAAGGGATTGTGATTTTGACTCCCAGTTTGATTTTGGGAAGCAAACAATGCTTCGAATATGATTTTCTGAGCTGTGGATTCCGGCAACCAGGGGCAACCAGGGGGCAATCATGAGGGAAACTTAAAGCAGGGACTGCCGAGCTATTTGAATCCTTTAAACGGCTGGGAACGGCCCTTTGAATTCCGGATCACGGACATGGAAAATATTAATTCAATGATTTGTTTACCTTCTGCCTAGTTTGCGGTTGAAGTTTCGCAATTAAATGCTGCATAAATTACATGCCGGCGAGCAGAATTTGGACTTCCAGATCCACAATGCTGCAGTGTCCTGCGGTCGAAAGTTTCCAGACTTGCGGTCGCCGGCCAGGACACTTTCTAACTCTCTCTCGAGTTTTGCAAAAAAATAACAGCCATCCAGGATAGTTGTCATGGGCATGTGTATCCTGGGCAAACAATTACTGCCAAGATATCACTGCTCATTGGGCTAATAATTGCGTTAAATATTTGCACATGCAAATTCAAAGCGCCATCCTGCCCCGTCCTAGTCCTGCGACAGGTCCTGCCAGCTCTGGGCATGGAATTAAAATGAAATGAGTCAATTATTAATGCAAATTAATTGTGTTGCCATTTGCGCAAACACATCAGATATCTGGTCCCTGGACCACAGTGATTCGAGGTATATTCTATCCAGTCCGAGGTATATATAACTATCTGGTTTTTATCCCAAAATGGAGCTCCTTTTTTTCCTCTTTTCGGCTTGGAATTCTTTCTAATGAGCTGGAAACAATGATGGGTGACCGTGGGTGCTCCTTTCCTGCAGCCTGCATTTCACAGTTCACATTTCACATTTTGCATTTTGCATAATGATAAAATAATAAGAGCTGGTCAAGTGTGTGATTAGTAGTCGGAATAACATGTGTAAGCAATGGATTACAATTTAATTTGCAATAAATGGATCACAGAGCACGTGACAGGACGAGTTACTACTGCTCCAGTGGCCGCCATTCTTTATCCAAAACCTGGCCCGGAGCGAGACCAATTGGCAGAAACCCGTGGGCTGCCTTGTTCCAAACCTATCCAAACCTGCCCCCAATGCCCCAAATTTCTATTACAATTTTTGGTGCAATTTTTTTGTTGTTTGGCCTCCCAGGACGAGGATGAGGACGAGGGCCATCAAAGGCCAGAGGCGGGCAATGAATTGTGCGTATGTGTGCCAGGTTTTCCAAATAGATGTGTTTGCTCCCAGCTCCGGTCCGGTCCGATCCGGTCCGGCATACCCCTTTGCTTTCATTTTCCATTTTCCGGAGCGCTTTCTCCTCCTCCTCCTCTGGGCGGAAGGGTATTTTGGGTCATCGAACTTCCCTCGAATTCTGGCTTAAATTCCATCATTTGTTTGGTCTAAACTTTACCTGAAATCTTATGGATTTTGGTACTTGAAGGTAGACATTCCTTGAGTTGCTGCAGAGCATCCACCATTCGCCTCCAGCATCCCCGACCCAAGCAGCTTTGTTCTTTCGGGCGTTTTTTTTTTCCTATTTGTTGGCATAATATTCAAATTGGTTGGCCGGGCAAAGAAATGCAAACTCAAAGAGGTCCTTTCTGCCTTCACCTGATGCACATTTCATCTTTTTTTTTTTGGCCCGGCATACCCTTGGGTTGGATTCGGTTGGGCCAGAGCTCGAGGAGCTCTGCTTCCGACACTTTCCACATTGTTAGGAGGGCCGGGTGGCGCTCCAAGGATTCTGGGTTCTGGGTATCAGCCTTTGACAGCAAAAAGGTAGAGAGAGAAAGAGAAATCTGGCCAGGAAGCGTAAGGAAAACCATTAAATGCTCGATTTGACTCGGGCAGGTGGGAACCGGAGAACAGGACGAAAGAATGTAGAAAGGGCTTAATTGCTCTGGAGAATTTCGTCAGAGAATCGAATACGTTTGGATGGTGAGCCATGTCCTAGTATTCCTCTGAAGGAAGCAATAGTATGATTACTCTTCGCAGGCCAACACACCAAGGCTACTCAATGCCAGGGGCGTGACCAGGGGTCAAGTGGCGCCACCTACGGCGGGGTAGGTAGGAGAAACGTTTCTTGCATTTTATTGTCCACCAGAAGCGGCGGACATCGTCCATTGATTGCCATTTGATTCGTCGAGTGTGTGGGCGGTGCCCGCAAGCCGGAAGGGGCGTACGGGGCGTGGCAGACAGAGCTGCCAACTTGAAGCGGCCAAGTCAAAGTTTCGGCCACATTTTCTCCTCCTCCATCCCCCTGCCTGGCTTAACCCTTGTTGGGCAGGCTACATATATCCTTGCATTGTCCTTATCTCTCGGCTTGTATCCTGGGCCTTGGTTGAATTCATCTGCGGGGCTGTCATGGGTTAAGTAACTGCTCTGCGGCCGCAAACGCTCCGAGTCAAAGGAGCTGGAGGAGCTCTGGCCAGCACTTGCATATTTGTTAGAGTCACCACAGCCCGGCTCGGGGGGGGAGGACGAGGTCCTGGGCCTGAAAGCAGCCAGCCACCGACCACATAGCTTATGCAGACGATACCGAGACGGGGCCGGACCTGGGAACTTTGGGTGCCAGGATACGGGTTCCAGGTGCAGGGCAGGCGGCAGGCAGCAGGCAGCAGTCGGCATTCGGCAGACAAAAGCACGCAAAAACTTTGTTGCAAAACACTTAGCAGCACACACACACACACACACGCAGGGCACCGACACAGACACGGAAGTGGGCGACACAGGCGGCAAGGATTTCAAAAGCTGGTTCCCTGTTCTGACCAGCCCTGCCCTGCCGCCATCTTGATTGCGACGCCCTGGTCGCCTCACTTCCGCATGTTAAATGCGCGCCGCCACACATTTCTCATTTGGGAGGAGCCTGAAGGGGGAGGGGGGCGGATGGGGGATGGGGCTGGGGTGTGCGTGTGTTGTGCATTGTCTGGTTAGTCCTTTCCGCATATATTTGAAAATAAAGTTACGACAAGTTGCACTCAATTTTCAGCATTTACTGTCAGCGCAGAGGCACGCCAGCCATGCAGCCATCCAGCCATCCAGTCGGTTGGGAGAAGTGCTCCCACGAGGCGAAAAGGAGGAGGCGGTGGAGGAGGTGGTGGGGTAAGAAGGAGTACAATAAAATGCCGCAGGACGAGAGCTACGTTGCAGCTACGAAAATATTTAGTGAAAAAGTGAAATTGGCGATAAATAAAACATCATGTTTTCCAAAATGAAGGAAGCCAGGAAGGAGCATAAAAGTAGGCAACAAAAGAAGGTCCTTTGTTTAAAAGGTAAAGTCGTTTAAGGAAAATAATTATATTTATTATAATTAAATTATATTTTCATCAAATTCGGAGATTGGAGCATCCTCAGCATGGCAATCCCATAGACCCCCAGGAAAAATGCGAAAATCCACAAAATCGCAAATATGGGCCTCTTTCGAAGGCTCTATCTTCTTTAATATCCTTCTGATCTTTAAGAGGGATACCTTATTGGAATCGTGGATCGATTCTCTATAAAACTGCATTCAAATCTGGGGTTCTAATTTTTTTTCGATTTTTTTCCGATTTTTCTGATGGACCCCCTTGAAAAATGGGGAAATCCACAAAATCGCCAATATGGCCTCTTTCGAAGGCTCTATCTTCATTAATATCCATCCGATCCTTAAACGGGATACCTCATTGGAACGGTGGATCGATTCTCTATAAAACTGCATCCAAACCTGGGAGGCTATTTAATTTTCGATTTTTTTCTGATTTTTCTGATAGACTCCCTTGAAAAATGGGGAAATCCACAAAATCGGAAATGTGGCCTTTTGGAAAGGCTCTATCTTCGTTGATATCCTTCCGATACCTAAACGGGATACATTATAGGAATCGTGGATCGATTCTCCACAAATCAGCATTATAATATGGGGTTATAATTTTTTTTAAATTTTTTCCGGATTTTTCTGATGGCTGTGAGGCAGCCCGGGCACCAGGCATATGAAGAAACTCGGCTATGGAGTCGCCTCCTTGTTTTCCGCAGTTTTGGGGAAAGTGATGAAAGCGGGATGAGAATTAGGTCCTTGCGGGGAGTGCCGGCCAAGCCACTGT